TTTCAACAGAAGTGGAAATTCTTTCTCACCAGTTAAGGCGTGTCTCTTAGTAATTTGTTGCGAGTTTTTTCTGTAAGTAAGTAATTACAGGGTATTGTAAGTTATCAAGTAACGTAATGTAACGTATTGTAATGAAGTTATTATAACTGATGTTCGTAAGTAAGTAATTATTGTATATTGTGAGTAAATAAACAAGAAACATAATGTAAAGTATTGTAAGTAGGGTTTTTCATGTATTGTAAGTGATGCTTGTAAGTTAGCAAAAAAAAAAAAAAAAAAAAAAATTAGTAAAGTTCAGGATTAGTATCCTGAAAAAAGAAAAATATTCGATCGCAATGAGAGGTTGATTAATCAACTTAAATGAGGTAAAAGAATTGCTGTAATTTTACCTTTAAAAATAGAAATTCCCTCTACTATTATTGACGCTTTAAATCATATGATTAGCTAGAAACTTGGACTTTACGATGTTTACTTGATTGAAACAGTGATCTTTTTTACAAATAGGAAATGACATTTTAGTGAATATATAACCCGTCGTCAATGACGTCATGTATGTCTCTGTCCTCCACCAGATCCTAAGTAACAACAAATCGAAGTGCGAGAATAATTTGAATTCTTTTAGATGTTTACTAAATAGTTTTTTTTTTAACTGTTTACTCTCTAGAGGATTTTTAAGAGTAAGTTTATTCAAGAATGTGAATCAAAGGTGTCACAGTTTTCTGTCATCACTGATTTGAACTAATCACTCTCCGGAAAGCCTGCGGTAAAAGCCGTTCATGCAGCATAATATTTGCACAGCAATGACATTTTGGGTGAAATATATAATTTAGAACTGACGCTTTCCGCCGAAAATAATCTCGCAATAATAAGATAAAGTTCGCGCAGCAATATCTGGTGTCGCTTCCAAACGTTAAGCTCAGTGTACGTGTATTTCTTAAAAATTTAATTGATTTATGGACAACATAATGTAACGTGTAGTATGTAATAGCAAGTTCGCAACAGCACGAGGCTCCAGCGTTCGACTCACCCGGTGGAAATTGTTCGAATCTCAGGCACACACACGGCTTCTACTGCCATTTTTCTTCGTCCTCCTTGTAGTGCAAGAGATCAGCAACGTTTCTGTAAAATAAATATGCACCCATCGTATTTCTGTAAGGAATTAGCAGCTCCACAAAATCAAATATCAATTTGAAATTGCCGCCATTACACATTGTGGACCAAAAGCACCGCTGGCACTGGGTAGGGGGTACCAGGGTAAAAGGACATTCAACAGGAAAGGACAGGTATTTTTGTACGGAGCATTGGCGACACGGACCACCCCACTTGGAAAAAATATCCCGCTCCTTTGTCTTTGAATACTCAAGTGCATGAAAACTAACGCTCGAAAAAATATGTCAAATAAGACGATACCACAGGAGTCAAACAACAGTCGAAGAATTGAATAAATTTTAAAAATGTGAATAGACAAAATTTCGAAAAATTAAATTTCTAACGTGACTCCTAGGTTTAGGGGAATGAAACAAAATAAATCAAATAAAGATTGAGATACGAATAAAAAATTCTTCTGTTTTATTCCCCTAGGCCTCGGCGCCAGGTTAGCGCTTTAATACATCGAAATTTACCATTAAACGATATTCTTTTGTTTGGCTTCTTTTTTTTTCTGCGATTGAGCTGTTTTCTGCGAGAGTACGTTTAGGATTTTAGATCTTTTAGAATAAATCAACAAGGGAGGCAACGTTTGAACAAAAAACTTTAAATTTAGTTTGCAAAATCGCTTGAAACGTGTACCTTATTGACTTTCTTTAAGCCCAGACTCTCGAAAACTGAGGCCAAACACTGTAAGTCTGTGATCAACTGACAGAATCACAGAAAAAGAATTTGCCATCGAAATTTACCTCTATTGTTTCTTTTTTTTTCCGCGGGGCTTACTTTTGCACGTGTGTGGTCACTATTTCACTAATGCATGCCCTGTAGACCTATCTATGTCGGTGTTGCTCACATTTCACCCACCACAGACCATTTGGCAAGTTACCCAAACTCGTGATCCCAATATCACGTAACCAGCTGAAGCAGTTTGTTTTTCACTAACCTTGAGGAATTACGGCATCGCCGAAATCATGGCTGTTCAAAAGCAAACTATGCCTTCCTTTGCTTCTATTATTTCTGTTCTCTCCATTGTGTTTTACTGCGCTGGCTTTTTACGAGTTGAGCTGGAACTACACGAACAAAATAAAAGGATAAACGCTCTTGAAAGCGTTGCGAAGGCCAAGTCGCCGTCAAACAATGCCGACATGAAGATAATCAAGAATGCTCCTGGTAAGTTTTTCTGCTACAAGCTAGAGTTGACAAGTTGTTACAATCAAGAAATACAATTATCAGATTCAAAGCTTGGTCGAAATATATAAACTGTGAAAATAGCTATGAATTGAAACAAATGACAAATGAATTGTNGGAATTACGGCATCGCCGAAATCATGGCTGTTCAAAAGCAAACTATGCCTTCCTTTGCTTCTATTATTTCCGTTCTCTCCATTGTGTTTTACTGCGCCGGCTTTTTACGAGTTGAGCTGGAAGTACACGAACAAAATAAAAGAATAAACGCTCTTGAAAGCGTTGCGAAGGCCAAGTCGCCGTCAAACAATGCAGACATGAAGATAACCAAGAATGCTCCTGGTAAGTTTTTCTGTTACAAGCTAGAGTTGACAAGTTGTTACAATCAAGAAATACAATTATCAGATTCAAAGCTTGGTCGAAATATATAAACTGTGAAAATAGCTATGAATTGAAACAAATGACAAATGAATTGTTTGCTCTATTTGTGCTGTGCAGACGCAATGTCTGAACTGAAGGTTAGCCGAAGTTACGTTTTACGCAATCCACGGCAGACGATTGTAAATGAAAATAATTATTCAGAAGAATCGATAAGGAATAAGTCCCTTCTCTTTTTGAAATTTGATCAAACGTGCTACCGATAGAGTCCCTTTGTCTGACGGTTATATCACGGGAAATGAACAAAGGATATGTTGTCTGCGCCAAGTACTGTTTTTAGTCTCAAATGATCCAGAAGTCAAGTATTTCTGTTTTAGTGCGGTCAGTAGATTTAACAGTGGTATCAAGGTTTCCTACATGTAAGTATCAATCTTATTTCATGATATCATTTTTGGCCTTCTCCCTAGGAATTCAATCCTCTGAACTTAAAAGACACAGCCGTCAAGTAGACTCAAACGAGAACTCGACAGAAGCTAAACACACAGTAGAAACGATGCTCAAAATAAACAAACTTTTATCAGAGGCAAGAGTACATCTCTGTCAGTCAAAGGGTGTCACGTGCTCCTCAGGTCCCCCAGGCCCTCCCGGTCCACCTGGACCTAGAGGACACAAAGGAGCCCGGGGACGAAGAGGACAGAA